GCGCCGGTTATCGACAGTACCAGACCAACGGGCCATAGTACAGCGGAGCTTCTTGCAGCCTTTACTTCCGTGCAGTCGCTACTTTCCTGCAGCCGCTACAGGTGTTTAGTGAAATGAAAAAATACGACGGGGAAAATGTTTTTTTTTTGCAGTTACACGACTTGGAGGTCTGATAGCGCCATCATCGCTGCCGCGTCCGCCATTGCCTGTGCCCGGAACGCTGTCGCCTGGACCAGTACCACTACCGCCGGCTCAGCCGCTGATTCCGCTTGTCATACCAGCAGCAGCAGCGGATAATTCGCCGCTTCCTCTGCCGTCGACAGTTGGTCCAGCCACAGTACCCAGTGTCGATATGCAGTATGCTGACCGAACTGCTTCATCAGCTACGGTTCGTTGCTTCCTATTTTGCTTCTGGCTTTCGATTGTGTGTAGACTTAGCCCCGTAGCAACACGCCATGTGAATGGCGTGGCCGTCCAAATAAATCTGTACATTGCGAGCTCAGTTAGTTTCATGAGCAATCTTGTGAGGACTCGGTGCATATGGAAAATCGTATACCTAAATTGAGTTTCGTTTTGTACCTGCACTACGGCTTAAGGCACTTCAAAGATATTTGTAGCAATGTGGTTATTCCGCTCACCAGATAAGCTGCGAAGCTGAAAATTTGCAAGGATATTCTGTGTTCACTTGTAGTCTTAATTCAGCTTAGAGTGAATCCCCTGCGCATGGGCGTGAAAAATACTTAATTTTATCGCAAACTCAAAAGCGAGTGCATTTTGCAGATTTCATAATTTTTTTCCACTTCTTTCGAAATTGCATTTTTTTTCGACGAGCGAGCATTCAGCGGAAGAACGTCTGAGTTTCATGCAAGAAACTGATAATCATGCACGCTGGAGGTTCATGTGGCCCCATTATGCAACACTCTTATCCCAGCCGATGCCCTTCCCCCTGCACGCAGGAAGAAGGCCGAACATAGCCAATATGAGTCCATATGTTAAAATACAGCGTGGAGATGATTCCTGCTGTTAGCAAGTTAGCGCAAAAACGCATGATCGCACCAGCAAGCTTGGTGCGTTGCAGCCTGCGTTCACACTGTAGTAAGATTTGTTGATGTTTGACTTCCGTCAGTTGTTGCAAACTGGTAACGCCCTTTACCTGTCGACTTTATTTTCCCTGTTTGTAATTACGATGCTTTGTCACAACATTTGTCTCGCAGAGTTCTTAATTTTCAAACTATAGTCACAAAAAAAAAAAAATAACCAGTTTTCTTCGATTCTATCGCCTTCTTAGTCTTAGCCAGCTTTTGCTATTCTGCTTATGTTATTGACCAAATTTTACTTCTACCTACGAGTGGACATCAGTCGGAGATATACAGCTTGAGATCAAAAGGCCTGGCGCATCTGTGCTGGGCGTACAAGAGCATCCAGTAACATGGTTCCTCCCCGCTGATTGGCCCTGATATTCTTGGTATAACACTTTTATAGTTTTGCTTTTATATTTTGCATTTCTGAAGTAATCATTGGTATTTTTTTAAGGTCGCATCACCACCATATCAGGTGCCCCCTTCGGGACAAACTTTTCTTGTTCTTCCGACAGACTTTCCACAACCACCAACAGCGCTTCCCGGCCCGTCAATGTCAACGATTGCTTCCCCTTCACCTCAAATATGCCCGAGGATAGGAGCACTGGGACCTGGACCTCTTACATCGTCAACACCGCAGCTTGCATTGCCATCAGCGTTTCCAGCGCCATCTGAGCAGCCGCCACAGATCGATTGTCCTGGAGCAGGATATGCTTCCACCAGGTATTTTTGGTTATTTTTGAAAAAACGCTTAAATTTCAAAAAGCAGAACCTTCTCGACCTTAGTCATGTGCGGTAATATTACATTGTTGTGGCAAATGTTTTTTTTTCAGTATCCTCGATGAAATGTGTTTTACGGATTCTCCAGATGAAGCTGGATGCCCTCGTGAAGCTGGCAGCGTGGGAAGTTCGGTAATTCTGTTGGCTTTTCCATTATTTTTGTGATTTATTTGCTTTTTTTGTTTTGATTTCTTTTTTAATTTACTTTTTGAAGACAGACTGATTTGGCAGTGTATGATGCTCTCTGTACACCTCATTAGTCTTCGAAAGGCAGAAAACACCTGGGAAAACGCCTAATTCCCGTAGTTTACATTTTTTTTTTGTTTCGTCGGTGTTTTGATACATGTATTATGATAGATTTAAATTGCCATCTGCTTGTTATGCGTTTTTTGCTGTGTAACAGCAGTACAAAACATATTGTCACGAGGTTGTCTGTGTGTGTGTGTGTGTGTGCCCGCAGCAACTTGTCCGCAACTTTCTACTCGAGAACCACAAAAGCTAGGAAACTGAAAATTTAGGGGAACGTTTTCCACCCACATGTGACTCCGCAAATTCCCCGCCAACTAAAAAGCCCAGTGTCAAATCATTCTACTAAATGCAAAATAGTTATATTATAAATATAATAAAAACACTACAAAAAATACAACATACACAATTGAATATTAAAGAGATATACATACATATATATATATGTATATATATATATATATATACATATATATATATATACACATACTGTGTAGAGTTTGACAAAATAAGTTCCCGTGTATAACATCATCCTACAACAACGGAATAATCTCCCCATCACTATCGATTATTCTGTTGTTGTAGGGGCCCCTCCACTTATTTGACGCGGCAAATTTAAATTCAGCCTTCCCGTACCCGCGGGTAACAAGTATGGCCCCGTGAAAGTTTTTTACGAATAAATTAATGTCTCGGGAACCACGGAGTCTAGGAAGCTGAAATTTTAGGGTATTGCTTTCCCCTGTCCACGCCCATCCTTGCCCATTCAAATTTAGCGTTCCCGCGCTCTTGAGTGTCACATACGGCCTCGTGAAAATTTTGGCGAGTAAACTGTTAACTCGGAATTCACGGAAAGATATTCACCGTTCAAGGTTTCGAATTCAGCTTTCATGCGCTAGTGCGTGAAATTTTTAATTATTTTCCAATGTTTGAACTATTTTTGCATAGAGTAAAGTACAAAACAGTGAAAATCTTTGATAGTCAATCGTTCGATGGGCTGAATTGCACAAAACGCATGATAGCACCGGCTAGTCTGGTGCGCGTTGCT